TAAATTGTATTATGCACTTATAAAATGACTTCTACTATTTCTGGGTGCTGTTGGCCATGGCTGCTCAACAGCACTGCCATTCCCTTATAACACTGGTTATTACTGTTTACTCCTTCCTGGTTCACTCTGTGATCCTTCAGGCCTGTGATCTGTCAGCGAGGCTATTTTTTGGACACAGCTTAGCACGCTTTCAGAAGAGGACTAGACATGACATGAAACAGGCAAGAAGCATCTCAACATCTGAACTCTGTTAGCTGCACAACTTGATAGGGGCCTAAACATGCTATTCTATGTACCTTCCTACATTTGCCTATTCTTGCCTATTTGAATTTGCCTATCCTTGCCTATTACAATATTTGCCTATTCTAAGTACCTTCCTACATTTGCCTATCCTATCCTAACATATGTAAAATGCAGCTATTGGTGGTTGCTTTTCTTGCTGGTAAGTGATTGGAAGGGAAAAATAAGTCAGGAGAATCCACCAATCACATTTCTTAATTTGTCCTGCATTAAAATAGTCAGGACGACATCACTTGCCAGCCTTGGTACTGCGGCTGAATAGGGATCACTACCGCAGGTAGCACAATATACGCCACTGTATTTTTTTGCCAGCTTTAATGTGGCCATCTGGCTGGGGCCAGAGGCTCACTGTAGTTTATTACCATCATGATAAGCCATGGTTCATCTTGCTGTCTAAACAAAACCATAGAGTAATATTTTATATTGTTTTCATTGTTTCGGTGTGATAGTGAGATGAAAGAATACACTTAGGAGAGTTACTTGAATATGAACATAACTGTGGATATGCCAAAATGATGAATGCCCCAGCAACTCCTTTAACATACTTTAATTTGCAGATAGCTACATAGGCACAAAGGAAATGCCCACAGGATTAACCTAAAAAAGCTGAGCAGAATAAGGCAATTCTTTTAATATTCTGTATATGATTTTTTTTTGTAAAGTTGTGCAATACATTTTTCTTTTGCTTCTAAACTCTATGTATTTTGCATTTGAATGGAATAATTCTTGTCTTTTATCTTCTTCAATGATAAAGAACATTATGTGTATTGGTAACATATTAAGAGTACAGTATTTTTTTCCAATTACTTTTGAAAGTATACAGCAATAAAAAATACTGATTAATGTAATTAAAAGCTAGAAGAGTATAACACTATCTTAAGCAAAACAATAAGTATAATTAAAAACTAAAGCAAAACAAAACCTTAGTCTAAACACCATTTGGCTATAAGAATCATGCACATAATTTCCAAGTCATTGTTTTATAACCTTTTCCATGTGGTTATTTATTTCAGATTTTAATGAAAAATTTCAGTAAAAAAGGACTAATATATTAGCAATACAGGTAGTCCTCACTTACTGACTGCGCATTCAGTGACCAAAATTACGACAGCGCTGAAAAAGGAGATTTACAACTGGTCCTTGAACTTGCGGCTGTTGCAGTGTGCCAGCGGTCATGTGATTGCTATTTGGACACTTGACAACTGGTGCATATTTATGACAGTTGCAGTGTCCTGAGGCCATGTGATCACCATTTGCGATCTTCACAGCCAGCTTCTGACAGGCAAAGTCAATGGGGAAGCTGGCAGGATGCCACTCTTAATGACCGTGGGTGATTTGCTTCACAACTGCAGCCAGAACTGATGTAAGTTGGGTGCGGTTATGTGATGTTTCACTTTACAACTGTGTCGCTTAGCAACAGAGTTGCTGGTCCCAGTTGAGGTCAGTAAGTGAGGACTACCTGTATTTCAGGATTGTTCACTGTCTCTTAGATGAATTATTTCAATTGAGTTGTTAATTACTGCTATCATCAGGGTCTTTACTAAACATACTAGACAGAATTTGGAAAGAGTTCTATTGACAGCCACCAAGAATACAGTAACGTAACATAATATATACATCTAGTATATATTTGAGAATTATTTTTTTTTCTTGAGTTTCATAACAACTAGGCTTAAATTTACTGAACTGGGCTTAAGAACAGTATCTGCATTTAATGGATTCTTTTCCAGTAGGCCCAGTTGCTAATGTTAAAGGGCTTGTGTCTTGTTTAATGCCATTTGCCAACTACCTATGATAGTTACGTGTTGATTTATTTCATTCCTTAACACCTAACTTTAACTATTTATTTTGGTATCAACATCTTTGAAATTGTGATTTGGCTTTTAACATTTTATTTTAGTTGCACTGTTTGTATTTTATACTTGCTAGCTGGTTTGAGCAGTTTTTTTTAACGGAAGGGTGGGTTATACATGAAATAAATTATGAATTTTAAATTTCCAAATATGCAGAAAAAAATTTGGTCTCAGGGCCTATGAGATCACACAAAGACATAAATATTACGTAGATGAGAATCAGAAGAAATCTATAAGGGCTGTTGATGTCCCTTTCTCCCATGCTATGTTAAAATTTCCCTGATATAACAAAGCAGTATTACAATGAGACAATTAAGCAGGTTTCATAAGCATAGTTTGTTTAAAAGAGATAATGGATGGGTTCATACATCATGCTAAGCTGCGAACGGCCACACATGATTTATAAATGGTTGAGAAACCATAAAATATTGTGTATCGGTTCAGGCAACATATTAAGTCCAAAGCAAGTAAAACATGTTATGGCTTAATGCAATACATGAATCCATTCACTGTGAAGTTCTGCCACCTTTGTCATGTTGGAGAGGGGTTTTACAAGAGGGAGAAACAAATCTTATGTTCTACCTATGTGGATTATTCATAATGACTTGTACCTTAGGGTTCAGCAAAAACTTTGTTCTTCCTATCTCCTATTCTAAGAAAGAATTATGAGATGTTGATCCATAAAACTGTATTCATTTGCCATAAAATACATTTACTAAGTACCCCTTAATAAATCTATTTTATAGCAATTGAACAAAACTTTGTAGAATTCAACACGTATATTTTTTTGCATCTAATATTTCATAGTCACCCATTTTATAACCATGAATGGGATAATGAAAAACCATAATTAAGTTCTATAACACTGCTTTTCCCTTTGTATTTTAATTAGGAAATTTTAACAATGTTATTTCAAAAAATTAAATTAGAATGTATTTTTCTTTTGTTCACAGAAATGGCAATTCTGTTTTTAATGTACAATACTATTAAACTAAGTTCCCATGATGATTCTACAGTAACCCTCTTGAAATGCTAATATAGTTTTCACTCATTTATTTAATTATTTTTCTATGTCCCATAAAAGCACTTTTATGTTCAATTCTTCTCTCAATACTTTATCTTCTACAACGTAATGAATTTGTTTTTACATTATGAAAACCAGCCATTAAAGAAAACAGAAAGGCTATAAATTATTATTTGCTTTCTTTTTTTTTTGTATTAGTTACCAAAAATATAGTACCAGATTTTAAACATGAAAAGGAAATATGTAAAGAAAAGAAATAAGTGCTACAGTTAGTTATGCAAATATGTTAGTTCTATTAATTATTAGTTTCTGGAAAAAATATCTAAGGTAGTATATTAAAAGATAATTTAACACCTCAAACATATACTTTTCCAAGGAAATTTAGATTTGGTTATGGTTTAAGAAAGGTAAGAAATATATCAGTTACAGTATCAAGCCTATGGGTCATACTTCCAGTAAATTCAGGCAAGAAATACAAGACCCCCCCCCCATACCAATTGTATACTTGATAGTGGAGATAATAAAATATCTGATTTTGACATAAATAAACATTAAATCCATTTTTTAATGTCCTTATGATATATTTATTCACTGTCCTATGCCAAGAATCTCAATCTCAAGTACTTTCATCTTGAGACCTCCTTGCCCCCATACCAATCAGATACATATCTACTGAAGAGTAAGATTTTAGTGAGGATTGTTATTAAATGAGTCTGCAGTTTCAGTCAATCATCTTGGCCAACTATGAAATGCGGAATGAGGGAATTGTGTTCTTCTTCCACTAAAATATTTTTATTTAAAAGAATTGTAGCATAGTAGAATAAGTAGAATGAGAATAGGGTATAAAACAATTTCAACGTGCCTCAGTATTCACATATTGTGTTTACTTGAGAAGTCTGCTTCAAAATATTCTGTGTTTTGCTTTATCAGTTGCCTTTAAGACATAAAACCACATGCTGAACTATATACATGCATTCTGTCTTTTGCAGTATTTTCAAGAGCTGACCACCTGCTGATGTTAATTTAAGAACAGAAGTATTTTTAAGAGAACTAAACATTTCATTTCTTGTTTTTCTTACTTCACATTGTTTTAGCTTAATCAAAAACAGTTAAATACTCTCTTAGGCAACACAATCTGTAGGTTTTCTAAACCCGATTCTTGGTTTTCAAATAGATTATATAAACATACTGTATATTCCAAAGGTATGCATATCGTTGTGGCTAATCAAAGTGGAGATTATGCATAACCACGTCATTGTCAATAAATAACACCCTTAGATCTTCTTAGTCCATTCCTACCTAGAAAATGCCCAAATTAACAATGGGAAAGATCCACTTCTGCCTTAGTTTCATGCCTTCAACATACAAGTAGGAAGTAAGGATGCCCACACTGCAAAGTGATTTGGACCGCATGTGCACATGAATTTAGCACGTGCCATTCACTAAAACTGCCCAATTTTTTTTTTAAGGCTTCTGTGGGAGCCTGAGGGAAACTTATAACTGGGCTAGATATTTACTATGACTCTTAAAGCAGCAACTACCTTTTCCTTCAGACTCAGACAGTAGACTAAAAAAAATGATGGACTGCTTTAATAAATAGCAGAGAGATGCTGGGCTTATGCAAGGCCCAATACTTTTTTGGAATCGTTTTTAAAATGTATGGAGCCATCCAATTATGAAAGGTATCTCAGCCAACAATATCAGGGACCATGAACAGTGAGGGTAATAAGTACAGTACAGCAAACATTTGCCTTTTATTGTTTGTTGACCTGAGTGTTATAGGCAGAGAAGGATATAACTTGTAAAAATAAATACATACATACCTCCACAAATTCTCAAAATGTCTTCACCTTTGTATCCTAAGAATAAAATGGTGGAACTGAGGGAGAACCCACTTCTATTCAGCTCTATTTTTCTATTACTTTGAACAGAATTGTATTTAAGAAACACAGGGCAGCCACCAAAAATGACCTTCTAGTAGAAGCATTTAATCTTTAATGGTATGTTTTTATTTCATCAAGTTATGAATGTCCCTGATGATTTAAGGCCATACGATTTTATACAGGAAGAGAATTTGACCTAAAGACATTGTTTCTGACAGGCCATCACTCTCCTGTAACGCTGTAATTTCATTTTTTTGTTGCAAGGAAGACATTCAGCAAAAAGCCATCTCAACTGAGGATTAACAGTATATTAACTCTCAAGTCTCTGTACCTTGATTTCTGTATATAATCACATTCTCACCTATTAACATACCATAACAGAAGCATGCTGTTTGGCAGGTGTTACCAACTGTAATAATTTTTATTGTGCTAATGTTGGTATGTTAATAAGTGCATATGTATGGTACAGTCAGCTGATCAGATATTAGACCGATATGATGATAAAGGCAAAGATAATAACAATATAATTGGAAGAGAGGAGGAGAGCACATATAGAGCATGAAATGAAGGTAATGTAGGTAATTAAACTGGACATTATGTCCAGTCCAACCTGGAATGTTGACCTCTATCTGGCTTGGGTGAATGAAGACATATATAAAATTAGCTGCATATGTGCCTACATTTCTATCATTTTCAAACATGAACCCCATCATTTTTTGGATGTTTCTGATCAAAAGACAACTAGTCTGGGATTTCTTCTATTGTCACAATAAAACATTGCCTTAGCTGAGGTGTATATTTACAAAAAAATAGCTTGCTATCAGATACCTTTTATTCAGAGAATTACAAGCAAATCTGGGAAAGATAGGAACACTTTTTTTTTCTATACTTGACGAAGTGCTACCAGTAATTACCTATTTATCAATGGTGGGAAATGACCCAGGTTCTGTGGGGAATGTGCCAGTTTAAACAAAATCAAATTTCTAACAGCAAATAGCTTCCTTTGGAAAACTCCATAAAATTCCATATAACCCTTCCTTATTAGTTGCCAAGAAGCAAGCAAGCAAGCTGTCCGTCCATCCATCCATCCGTCCGTCCATCCATTTATTTATATGCCTTAGTAATTTAAATGGTTACAAAATCATCAGTGCAGATGTAAGCAATTTGTGAGGGGACTCTAATGGACATGCCATTTCACTGTTCAAGCATCTTACCTTGTAAACTGTAGATTTCTCCCACACTATTCTGCCGAGTGATGTGATGCCAGTATGCGCTACGAGGAAGTGAGATTGACTTAGGTAATGTCATTGGTTCAGTCAAAGTGGTCTGAAGCTGCAAAGATGAAGAAAACACATCATAGCCTGTTTTTCAGTCTATCTGCCGTATGTGTTTCAAGCTAAGATTATCATGATCAGTCTGTTAAACAGATATATTTAACTCACAATTAATTACATTTAATTGTGTCCACTAGTGCCGACAAAAATCTGATGAAAATCAATAGGACAATATATTGTTTTTAAAATTTTCAAAGAGCCAGTTTGGTGTAGTGCTTAAGGTGCTGGCCTAGAAACCTGGAGATTGTGAGTTCCAGGCCTCCCTTAGGCATGAGAAGCTGGCTGGGTAACTTTGGGCCAGCCCAACTCACCTCACAGGGTTGTTGTTGTGGGGAAAATAGGAGGAAAGAGTATTAGGTAATATATAAAATATATAAAAAAGGCAGAATATAATAGTAACAGTAGCAGTAGTTGTAATAATAATAATAATAATAATAATTCCCCTTTGTAGCAGTATACTTGTTACTGCAATTGCATTTCAAGAGGCATCCTTACAGAAAGGCAAACAAAAGATAATAGTTTGCCAATCCACTCATGGTTACTTTCAAAGCTGTTCAGAAGAGTACTGTATTATTTTACCAAAGAAGTAGAAGTATGAACTATCCATATATGCAGCTGCCTTGATATCTGCAAGGAAGCAAAATTGCAGATATTGTCCAAGGGATGGGAAAACTGAATTACAGAGATCTCCATAACACTATAAACTACCTATCTGCTCAAAGCAAACTGTACGTGATGTTCCAGGAACAATGTCTGTGATATACACAGCTCCTAAGATAAGTGGTGATCTATGCACATAGGTTTGCTCTATATATTTATTGTCTTGCTGAAATAGGACATGGTTGACAAGTTAGTTCATAACAAATATCAGGAACATGATAATCATACAAGGAAGTGACTGAAGATGAAGGAAAAGAGTGAAAAGTACATGGAAACTACAGTGATCAATTAAGAAGAAAAGTGGGACAATATTTTCCAAATAGAAATAGGAAACACATAATGGCTTGTACTGAAAGAAAATGCATAGTCGCATATAAATTGGGATAATAAAGAATGAATACAGATTATATCGTAATTTTTTCAGATGAAGATAGGATCCACTGATGTTCCAAAAAGAACTGAAAAATTATGGACTCAACTGACAAAGAATATTATTTTCAGAACTATGTCACAGAGCCTACAGACTCAGAGAGATTAGTTAAACTTTTGTAAAACAGATAAATTCATTATTATACCAAATACATAAACCAACTTTAGAAGTTGGGGTTTTTTTGCTTTACTATACAGAAATAAAAATCAGTTAAAAATAAAATAAAGCTTATTACAATATATTTAGTTTTTAAACTCCCTGACTACACAAAGCAATATGGATATATTTTTCAATTACGTCAACAGAAAACCAATTGATAAACCAAGAGCTGCATCAGTGCACCTCTGACTGATGTAAGAATGATGGACCTATTTGGATAGTCTGGGGGAGATGGGCGGCATATAAATTTAATAATAAATAAAAATAAAATAGTTCATCTCAGGTTAGGGTTAGGTGCCTGATAGATACAAAATCTTCCTGAGGACACTTCAGGATTTTCCCCATGACCTGGTGGACAGTTCCACTATATAACCGATCACATTCTAGAATACAACAGTGTCCACACTTCTAAGCTCTTACGTGTTTGCAAACTATTCAGGGTAACATGCTCTCTGCTGGGGTGAAGCAGTTGGTACAATGCTCCTGCTGGTTGCTGTGACATGCTTGCAAAGTTCTGTGTGGGTAAAAAAACCTCATATTCATTCTAATGTAGATGCCATTAGGTTGGAGTCTAGGGTGACAACTGGGTTAATGTCTTGTAATGTTATCTGGGATTTGTTTGATCTTACGGAGGTTAAGGAAGTAGAAAAGGTTCTTTATAGTATGAGCTCTGCCACCTGCTACTGAGATCCATGCTTTTCCTGGCTACTTTTGGTGCCCAAGAGGACTATGAGTAGCTGTAATCAAGAGGTGATGAATGTTTCTTTCAGAAAGGATGAAGTGCCATCAATCTTGAAAGAAGTGGTAATGCAGTTGTCTTCTGAAGAAGTCTTATCTTGACAACTTTTGCCCAATATCTAACCTTCTCTTTCTGGGGAAAGTGTTGGAGAAGGTGATGAGAAATCAGCTACAGAGGATGATATAGAAACCCCTCCCAGCATGGATTCAGACACAGACATGGGGTGGAAACAACATTAGTTGTTCTGGTAGATGAACTGCATCAGGAGCTAGAAAGTGGAGTGCACCCCTCTTGGTCCTTATAGACCTCTCAGCAGCTTTTGATACTATTGACTATGGTCTGTGAAGGTTGGGAGATAGGGATACCAAATTACAATGGTTCTGCTCCTACTACAGCAGATAGATTCAGTTGATAGTAATGGGGATAAGCAGTCAAGCCCATGATTTCTCCAATGTGGGGTGCCCCAGAGCTTAATTCTTTCTCTACTGCTATGTAATATCAATATGAAATCAGTGGGAGAGACTATTCATTGTTTTGCTGTAAGATATCATCAGTATGCTGATAATACCCAATTATATATCACTACCCTAGGCCATAATTGGGAGAGCTGACAATAATGGATATGCTGTGGAAATCCTGACCCAGGGTCTGGAGGCTGAGAGTTTGGATGTGGACCAAAACAAGTGAATGATGAATCTGAGAAAGATGGAGTTACTGTTTGTTCAGAAACATCATGGTTCATTGACACCTTTAGTGATTGTTATAGGAGGAGTTACTGTCTTCAGGAGGAGGACTGCAACTTGAGTATCCTCCTGGATTCAAGGTTCCTGCTGAAACAGCAGGGGGGTTGCCCAGCTTGGACTGGTGTGCCAGTTGTGGCCCTACCTAATCTTGAAGCCCTGAAGGTAGTCACTCGTGCCCTCAGCACCACATTTAGACTCCTGCCACATGCTCCATACAGCACTTCCTTTGAAGATGACAACAGAAACTGCAGTTCATATAAAATGCAGTGGCCAGGTCATTAGATGTTTGCAGGAATTACCAAGTTCAATTCAAAATGCTGGCTTTGTCCTAAAAAGCTATATATGATGTGGTTCTTGAATATTAAGAGACTCTCTGCTTCAGATAGAATCTGCCTGGCTCACTGGTGCAAGCAGGGAAAAGCTGTTTAGGATTCCATACCTCTAAGAGCTCAAAGGGATGTGGATTGAAGGACATCCTTTTCTGAAGTTGCCACTTGTAGAACTGTATTGTCAAAGGCTTTCACAGCTGGAATACGATGGCTGATGTGGGTCTTCCGGGCTGTGTGGTCGTGTTCTGGAAGTTTTGGTTCCTAACGTTTCGCCAGCATCCGTGACCAGCCGCTCACAGATGCTGGTGAAATGTTAGGAACCAAAACTTCCAGAACATGGCCACACAGCCCAGAAGACCCACATCAGCCACTTGTAGAACTCCTGGAGAAGTGCCAGGCAACCTCCTTATTTATGTTCCTCAGAGCAGTGGAAATTGTTTTGTTTCAGTAGGCCTTTGGTGACTGATGTTTTATTATGACCATATGGTGTTTGGGATACCAATTTTACTGAATTTATGATTATCTATTTACCTTCAGCAATAAGTGAAGGTAACATTCTCTGGACTGCTCTTAAAACCTTTTAATATGTGGGTTATCCTTCAGTATCTGGCTTGCTCACAGAAGGGGTAGCTTAAGAGAATATGAGCCACTGATTCTATTTTTCTCTTTCCACACTGGCAGAATTTTTCTAGGTATGAAATCTACATCTATCTGCCCTCCAATAATGCAGAGGGAGAACAGTAATGTGTGCCCTTGAAAAGGCCCATCTTTGTTTGTAAAAAATAAGATTTTGTAAATAACTAGTCAGGGCATCGTTAGCACCTTCCACCAATAAGCAACAGAAGTGTGGGGCTTGAGCCAATTTATGGTGCTCCATATTCTGTCCTCCCTTTAATCATTCTTACAGCATCCTTATACCTCAGTTCGCTTAGACATTCAGGTGAGAAGCCAGTGGTAATAAGATTTTTTTCACAAACTAATTGCCAGTTGTCTTTATAAGTATCCATTAACAAGAGAGGAAGCAATCCACTGTAGTTTAAAGTGACTCTGACCAGGCCTGAGTTTCAGTGTTTAGGAAGCCTGCTTCTAGGCTCTGGAATACATTAACCACACATCTGGGAACATATGACTCTATGGAAAACGGACTGGATCCATTCATAGGATGTGAGATGAGAAGGTGGACCTGACTGTATTCTATTCCATATTGATTTGGCCTGAAATGGTTTAATCATTGCTGGAGCAAATCTCCCTCCTTGTATCCTTTAAAATCTTAGAATGGCTATGGCACTCTTCTGTGCCTTAGAAACGGCATAAGCAATTTGAGCCTGTAATTAATGGTAAAGGGATCAGTCCTTCCACGGGATTTTTTTCAGGGAGCAGGGGCAGCCAGGAGATTGCAGAGAGATGGAAAGATGTAAAAAACTGATCCCACCTCTCCATTATTCACTTGCTTATAGGCTCTCCTCTCACTGTTGGTTAACTATTACAAACCTTGCAATATATTTCAGATGAATCTATCTCTCTGGGATTGATTCTAAAATTCCAAGTACACTTCCCAGTTCCAATCTCTGTAAAAGAGATCCCTGATATATCTTTTGCACTGAAAAGAAGAAAAGGAATAAATGTGATCTGCAGGTTTTGTCCCAGCCAGACTGGATCTGTGAGTAAGGCTGAGTAAAACTGGGAATTGGCAGCTCTAAAAGGCAGTGTTCTGTGCAAAGTTCATGGGCTTGCAAGCAGCAATCTCATTAGAAGGTAATGATTCAGAAAAACAGCATTAATTCTCATGTGGTCTTCCTACTGCAGCTATTGTACAATGATTAAAGGACAACAGGGACATGACAGAAAAGCACATATTGGGCTGTGCTGTCTGCATATCACAGCCATGCTGCCCACAACCCTAATTTAAAAATATATTAAAAACTACACATGAATACA